TGCCCTGTGCGGGTCCCAGACTACCTGGATCACATCAAGAAGCCGATGGATTTTCAGACAATGAAACAAAACCTGGAAGCCTATCGCTACCTGAATTTCGACGACTTTGAGGAGGATTTCAACCTGATTATCAACAACTGTTTGAAATACAATGCCAAAGACACAATCTTCTACCGAGCAGCCATCCGTCTGCGGGAGCAGGGAGGCGCTGTTCTCCGGCAGGCTCGCCGGCAGGCGGAGAAGATGGGCATTGACTTTGAGACAGGCATGCACTTCCCCCACTGTGTGACGGTGGAAGAGGCTCAGGTCCAAGACATCGAGGACGGTGGGTGCCGTTTCCCTGTCCTGGGGTATGAGGGCTACTCTGAGGTAAAGCCCAGGCAGAATTGGGGTACCCGGGGGTCTGTTGGAGCTGCCTCCCACGGGAGGCTCGGTGACACGCCTGGAGAGCTGGGGGCTTTGCTGACCTCTGGGCCCCGTTGGGTTGGTTGCAGGCAGTGGCTTGTCTGTGTGTCCTGCCAGTCCCTCTGTCCCTTGTCCTCCTCTTGGTCAGACCACGGGGCTGCCTTGGATGTGACCTCCGTAGGGTTCTGTCACTTGCCCCGTCCCCAGCACTGGCCATGAGCAGCTGAGGCTCCTGCTGTGCTGCTTGGCTGGAAGGACTGACCCCCCTGGGCAGAGCTGTGTGCTGCCCCCTCTCTCCCCAGCCATGGGCTTTGTTGGCTGCCACACAGCTCCTGACACCCCTCAACCTGATCTTCTTGCCTCCGTGGTTGTGACTTTGCTCATCTCTGGGCAGTTGGGAGCACCACCAGGAACAGAGAAGGGTCCTTTCAGGGTCCCCCTCTCCGTGCTCCAGCACAGGATGGGCTCAGTCAGGGAAACTTCCCTGCTCTGTGATGCTTCAGGATCCCTTTGACTCTTTGCTTTTCCTGTTACAACCCATGGTTTGCCCCATGCCTCTTCACACAGAGGAGCTCTGGAGAGTTGCCGATTTCTTTCATCCATCTGCTCCTCTTTGTTCCCCCAGAAGACGTGCGGCTGCTGCTCTCAGAGAATCAGAAGCACCTGCCCTTGGAGGAGCAGCTGAAGATCCTGCTGGAGCGGCTGGATGAGGTCAATGCTGGCAAGCAGAGCATAGGACGGTCCCGCCGGGCCAAAATGATCAAGAAAGAGATCACAGTCCTACGGCGGAAACTCGCTCACCCGCGGGACCTGGGCCGCGACGGGCTGGAGCGACACGGCTCCTCTGCCAGGGGCGTCCTGCAGTCGCACAACCCCTGCGAGAAGGACCTGCAGACGGACAGCGCTGCAGAGGAGAGCAGCAGCCAGGAGACGGGCAAAGGTACCGGTCCCACCAGAATGCTGCTGGTTTTGAGAAGCAGTGGAGCCTCTGGCCAGGCTGGTGTGGGGAGAGGCCACCCTGCCAGGCACCTTGCAAGGCAGGGGGTGCTCTGTGGGCAGCTCCCCCCACACACACCTTGCAATTCACTCCTTCTTAGGAACAGGGCCTCTCGGGGACAGTCCCTCACCTCCCAATCCCCTGTGGGGTCTTGCGGGGGGTCCCATTTCTCCTCCTTCTTCCAGGTCTGGGTCCCAATTCGTCTTCCACCCCAGCACACGAAGTTGGCAGGAGGACCTCAGTGCTCTTCTCCAAGAAGAACCCTAAAACTGCAGGTCCTCCAAAACGCCCAGGACGCCCCCCGAAGAATCGAGACAGCCAGATCACTCCTGGGCATGGGAACAGCCCCATCGGCCCCCCCCAGCTCCCGATAATGGGGTCCTCCCAGCGGCAGAGGAAGCGAGGGCGAAGCCCGCGCCCCAGCTCCAGCTCGGACAGCGACAGCGATAAATCCAACGAGGATGCTCCTATGGGTGGGTGCTGCAGCTCCCTCCCTGCAGCCGGGCAGGGGTGACCCCGCTGGCAGCACATAGTGGGGTCCCCCACAGTTGTAACTCTCTTTTTGGGGGGGGTGTTTCGCAGACTTGCCAGCAAACGGTTTCAGCAGCGGGAACCAGCCGGTGAAGAAGAGTTTCCTGGTGTACCGCAACGACTGCAATCTGCCCCGCAGCAGCTCCGACTCTGAGTCCAGCAGCAGCAGCAGCAGCAGCGCCGCCTCGGACCGCACCAGGTACCCAGATTGGGATCAGTGCACAGCTTCTGTGTCACAGAATCACAGAATCACAGAATCGCTCGGTTGGAAAAGCCCTCTGAGATCATCACGTCCAACCGTTCCTGTCTGCCCCCTAAACCATATCCTTAAGTACCTCGTCTACCCGCTCTTTAAACACATCCAGGGATGGTGACTCCACCACCTCCCTGGGCAGCCTGTGCCAGCTTCTGACGACCCTCTCAGGAAAGAACTTCCTCCTTATCTCTAACCTGAACCTCCCTTGGCACAGCTTGGTGCCGTTTCCCCTTGTTCTATCCCCCATCCCCTGGGAGAAGAGCCCAGCACCCACCTCTCTACAAGCTCCCTTGAGGCAGTTGTAGGTGGTGATGAGGTCTCCCCTCAGCCTTCTCTTCTCCAGTCTAAACAACCCCAGTTCCCTCAGCCGCTCCTCATAAGGCTTGTGTCCTCCTAGGTGAAACTGGGAGGGGAGTCCTGACCCGTGCCCCAGCAGCAGCACCACTCTTCCCAGTGCTCCCCAGTGCCGAGGCCAGCAGCTGGAGCCCAGGAGCCCTCTCGAAAGTGGTTTCTGGGAGCTTAACGTGGCTCCCGCTGACAGCCCCACTCCCTCTCTCCGCAGCACCACACCCTCCAAGCAGGGCAGAGGGAAGCCCTCCTTCTCCCGCGTGAACTTCCCAGAGGACAGCAGTGAGGACACGTCGGGGACAGAGAACGAGTCCTACTCCGTGGGCACGGGGCGAGGTGTGGGGCATGGCAGTAAGTACTGCGGCTGCGTGGCTCGTGCTGTCGCCCGGGGGGGGGACACAGCTGATGCCCCTCTCCCCTCTTCTCTGGCACAGTGGTGCGCAAGGGCATGGGGCGCAGCGCGGGGTGGCTCTCTGAGGACGAGGATTCCTCCCTGGACGCCCTGGACCTGGTGTGGGCCAAGTGCCGGGGGTACCCCTCCTACCCGGCGTTGGTGAGTACCGAAACCCACATCCCCCCCCTTCCCGTGCAGCAGCGCTTGGGTGTCCCCGTTCCCCTCTCAGCCCTCCCCTGCTTTTTGGGCAGATCATCGACCCCAAGATGCCGCGGGAAGGCATGTTCCACCACGGTGTCCCCATCCCCGTGCCCCCCCTGGAGGTGCTGAAGCTGGGGGAGCAGATGACTCAGGA